GAGGGGGAGGGGGGGGCGTGAGGCGAGGGTTTGCGCCTCTAGGCGAGCGGCTGCTCTACCTCGACCCGCACGAGGTCCAGCCCGCGCTGCGGCCCGACGACCCCGACGTCGCCTCCTGCCACTACGGGCGAGGCCTCCGCACGGTCCGGGTGGGGGACATCGACCCGTCGCTGGCGTTCGGCTTCCTGTGCGGGAGCGCGGACGAGTTCGACGAGCTCTGCGCCGGCTGCGCGCGCGTCGGCTCCTCCTCCCTCTCCGCCTTCAGCATCGCCGAGGCGCGCGTGCTCTGCTACGAGCGTGCGGGCAGCGAGGCGGAGGAGGCGGAGCCCCTCTCCTCGGACGACGACGACGACCTCGTCGTCTTGTAGGGTCTTCTTGTAGGGGAGGCGGGCGGGCGGGGGGGCGGCAGGGGCCCCCGGCTGGGGCGGCGCCTCCTCCCCCCTCCCTTCCTGGAGGAGGGAGGGGGCGAGGTCGCCGCCCTCGAGGCGGGGGCGCGAGTGGCTGGCTCGGGGGCAAGGGGGAGGAGGGGGGCGGGGCAGCTGCGGGGAGTGGTGCCGTGAGGGAGAGGATATCAGCCCGGAGGACTCAAGGCTGAGGACGCATCCGTTGTGTGTGTGTGTGTGCGTGAATATCTCCGCGCGGTGTTCCCTCTGAGTTGCTTGGTCGTGCGGTTTTGTCTCTGAGAGCTTGGCGCTTGAGTTGATCCATGATCGCGACCATCGAGCGGTCTTACATGTGTTCAGTGTCAAAGAAAACGTAGTACCAAACACCAGAGGAGGAGAGAACACTCCGGCCAACCGCGCGCGCCGCCGGCTGGGAGAGCGACAGCGCACACCGGACAGGACCGGCGCTCACACTGTGTGTGACAGACGCGCCGGCCGCTCGCTCGTCCAGGACCCACGGCTCACACGGGTCAACCATCAGGCACAAGAGATGGTGGCTGCGCGAAGCGCGACAGTATGTACATGGAGTTTGTGGAGGGGGGGGGGGGGGCGCAAATTCCCCTCTTGGCCCGCGTGCGGCCGAGCAAAGCGGCCCTTCAAATCCCCTTGTAGTGGTCGTCCGCCCATGGTCGAGTAAAGGTGCCCGTCCCCC